CAGTACACACACACACACACACACACACACACACACACACGTATACTCCATTTAACATTTTCTTTCAGTTAGTGTTTATTTCGAGTAAGGAATATATTTTTTAATGCTTTTAGTTTAAGTTCACTATAATAAACCTAAGTGTTAGCAAAACATCTTATAACATGACTTTTTGTAAAGCATTTGAGGGTTGACGATTTTTAATGATGATTTTTATGTGTTAACGTGGCAGATGGGGGTTCTGGAAGAGAAGTTGTTAAAGAAACTTCCTGAGGATGCCAGAGTCATTGTGTGCCGTTTCCCTTTTCCTCACTGGCCCCACAGCTGCACTGCTGGATCTGGATTAAACCAGGTCTGGGCTTATGATGTCCACACTGCTAGAGAACCGTCCAGAACATCTTCTCACCAATCATACGTCTGAACCAGCCGTCTGGTCTCCAGTGAGCCGTCCATTCTCAATGGTGACAAACAAGCCACATGCAGCTCAGAAATCTAGATATTTTGCTCTTTATAAAAGCCTTATATAACAGATGATTAATGGTTCTGCGTGACTGTCAAATCTATGAATTTCCAAATACTATTCCAAAGCAAGCTGATGTATTTGATGTGTGATGTTAAATAAATTGTTGCACTGTTTTCAGTCATTTCTTGCCTTGTATTGGACATACACTGTACATTGGAATCAAAAAGTCTGAGTTCACTTATGAAAATGCTTCTATTTTACATTTTCTACTATTTGATTAAAAAGTTAAACTAAAAAACGGACATACATATTTCAGAGTTTCCTAGCATTTCCAGCATGATTTAAGCAAGGTTATTATTATTTTATTCAAATAAAATCTTGTCGCTTCAAATAAAACAAACATTAACAAAAATGATTGTAATAACAAAAATATATAAAAAATATTTTGATACATTAAATTAATAATTTAAAAAAATAAAATGAACAAAAACTCTAGACATTGAAAAAAAATACAGATAATAAAAATGACAAAAACAAACAAAAATTAACAAAGGTCAAATTAAAATGAAAGCATAATAGAATAGTATCTCACAGATACTAAAATAACACTGGAATTGCGATGATTCAAAAAGCATCTTGAATTTCACATTTTTCTGTCAGTACAAAGAGCTACATGATCAATGCCACTCATTAACTCACATTTGATTTGTGTTCGAAACAGATACATTACTGAATCTGAAATAGTCCTTTATTTTGACATTAAAAATCCTGAAACTTTATTTCAAGGTTCAAATGAAACACAATCCAAGATTTTCAACATGGTCTCAAGATCTTTTTTTTTTTTTTTTTGCACTCAACTGTATGTCTGTCATATTAAAATTCAGTAGGAGCATGAATGAAACGCTCTCAAAATGTTATCTTGGTTATTAGGGATATAATACATAAACATCTAATCATCATGGATCATTTGTCTCATAATTGTCTCATAAGAAGTTGCCTTGCATGTCTTGTATACCCAGAATAGATCTGTCACGTTTACATACTTATTACACTGCCTGCTATTTTACCCTCAATTAAAACTGATGCTGTTGGCTGGAAAATAAAGCTTGTGTTTTATGCGATCTCCTAACAAGCTCCTCACTCTTCCATACACTTTACACCCTGCTATAGAAGAACCTTCCAGGCTGCAGTTTGACATCACTGATGAATAATTCATTAGACATGTGGTCAGCTAGACATGAAAAGCAATAGGGGAAAAAAAGTGAAAATGGGATCTGCTTTTAATTTTACACTGTTATGTGTTTTAATAAGCCCGCACTGTGAATCTGCATTGTTTGCATGCAATCAATATAAATGTTTACCTACGACACACTCCGAGGAAGGCTGGATGGCCGAAATGCATCAGTGTGCAGAGTTCTAGTCATTTTTAATGTTTCTAGAGTGAGCCATGTTTGAATAAAGGCTTTTTAACATTTTGGAACTGGAAAAAGTGCCTTGGACCCGTAGTTTCTATAGATATAATTTTGAACCCTACCACCTTCTGGGACTATTAAACGGAGGTCCTTTCAGCAAGTAGCGCTCCATGATGTTTTCTTTGAGTTATAAATGTTTACCTGTTGAATTGAACTATAAATAACTGAATTCTGCATGTAAACACTCTATATTTTAGGACTTGAAAACCAGCCTTCTCAGAACCACAGAACAGCATCAACACACTTCAGCTGATCCAAACAAAAGTAAACATTTTCCCACTCTTCCTCAAGACCACTTCAAAAAAAACAAAACAATGCATTGTATAAAATGTGTTACCTTAATTTGCAGAACACTGAAAGCTGATGGCCGTTTCGATGAATAAAGGATCCTTGAGGGCAGTTTTCTGGACGTGAATGTTTAACACTGTAGTCAAATCATAGGCCTACTGTTAGATGCTGAGCGCATCTTGCAAAAGGAAAAGGTGTTATAAAGGAAAAAAAAACACATATGGCATTAGCCATGACATTATGTAAATATATAGGGAAAATGGTAAAAACACAAGCATATTTATTTGATTTCTAAAATTTAGACTCTAAATATAATATTATGATCTATGAAGGTTAAATGCTTCTCAGATATCTAAATCAATAATGAAATCTGCTGGCTGTGTGTAACAGGAGTGTCAGTATGAGTCATACATGCGCCACACAACCAAATCCATTCAAACTAGTGTAAATCCACCACATGGTGGCGCTGGAGAACTTTACTGTAATATAGTCTCTAAAACATGCCCATGCATGTCCTAGTCAAACTTATAGATACAAAATATTGTAACAAACTACATGGACAGATTGAATAAAGTAATATTAAGTGAATAAAATGCGTTAAAAATCTGAAACATTTACAAAACACATTGTAAGATACAGAGGGTTTTAAGTATAGATAAATAACAATAATAATAATAACAATAACAACAACAATAATAAAATAATTGAAAAATCTGAAATAATATTCAATTAAAATTAATTTTGTTTCTTGTAGTTTCTTTTCTATGTTAAAGTTATACATTTCATTTCAATTTAATATAATAAAAGTTATTACAACTGTGCTTTACAGATATGTCTAATCTCAGGAATAAAATATTCCATATGTCAAAGCGCAAGCCATAACACTGATTTCGCGCTTCCAGTCGCTGTTCAGAGACGCGAGTCTAGTTCCAGCGCCGCGTGACGCGCCAGAGAAAATAAAAATAACTGGGCGGAGCAGCGCGCGTGCTGTGTATAAGAGCGAGGCTCTGTGGTGATTCCACCCAGTCTGGACTCGAGCATGGACATACTCAGGACTATAACACACCATCATCAACATCATCAGCCTGTGAATAACGGCAAGATGTGTGAACACACACACCACAGACCCACCGAGCGCAGACGAGGGAAATCAGAGGATAATAATGCTCACGCCACGCAGGAAATGTCACGCATCATCACGGATTCAGCCACTGGGAAATGTTACTGTAGAGGAAAAGTTTTGGGCAAGGTAAATATTTTACATTTGACTTATGAAAAAGTAATACCATAGTATTTTTGGAGCACCATTTACATACCATACTACAGTAATATGATAATACCATGCTACATATTAAAGCCTATAGTACTTTGAAAGTGTTTATTTTGAGTTTTGTTTCTTTTCAATAAACCAAATCAATAACAATAGTTATGCATCAATTTGCATAAGAGGTTACCAGTTGAATATATTATATTTATATGTAATGCTCTAGTTTGTCATTGTCTTACAATGCATGCTCTCTCTCTCTCTCTCTGTTGCAGGGTGGTTTTGCCAAATGCTATGAATTTACAGATCTGAGCACAGGCAAAATGTATGCAGCCAAAATCATTCCACACACGCGTGTTTCCAAACCTCACCAAAGGGAAAAGGTAACTTGCTTTCCTGTTGTCACGTATTTGCTCCTGACTGCATTGCTTGAATTGTTTATTAAGCTTGCAACCGTTTGATTGACAGATCGACAGAGAAATTGAATTGCACAGAGCCCTGCATCACAAACACATCGTTCACTTCTACCACCATTTCGAGGACAAAGATAATATCTACATTCTACTTGAATACTGCAGCAGACGGGTGAGTGCTATTGACGTCCTTCTTCGATTGATGAAACGGATCTTGTAGGAAATATTGTTGCTCATGTACAGTTTTTTTTTGTTCTTCAGTCACTAGCACATATTCTCAAGGCCCGAAAGGTGCTTACAGAATCAGAGGTTCGGTACTACCTAAGACAGATCGTCTCGGGGTTGAAGTATCTCCACGAGCAAGAAATAAAATGTGTTACCTTCATTTGCAGAACACTGAAAGCTGATGGCCGTTTCGATGAATAAAGGATCCTTGAGGGCAGTTTTCTGGTCGTGAATGTTTAACACTGTAGTCAAATCATAGGCCTACTGTTAGATGCTGAGCGCATCTTGCAAAAGGAAAAGGTGTTATAAAGGAAAAAAAAACACATATGCATTAGCCATGACATTATGTAAATATATAGGGAAAATGGTAAAAACACAAGCATATTTATTTGATTTCTAAAATTTAGACTCTAAATATAATATTATGATCTATGAAGGTTAAATGCTTCTCAGATATCTAAATCAATAATGAAATCTGCTGGCTGTGTGTAACAGGAGTGTCAGTATGAGTCATACATGCGCCACACAACCAAATCCATTCAAACTAGTGTAAATCCACCACATGGTGGCGCTGGAGAACTTTACTGTAATATAGTCTCTAAAACATGCCCATGCATGTCCTAGTCAAACTTATAGATACAAAATATTGTAACAAACTACATGGACAGATTGAATAAAGTAATATTAAGTGAATAAAATGCGTTAAAAATCTGAAACATTTACAAAACACATTGTAAGATACAGAGGGTTTTAAGTATAGATAAATAACAATAATAATAATAACAATAACAACAACAATAATAAAATAATTGAAAAATCTGAAATAATATTCAATTAAAATTAATTTTGTTTCTTGTAGTTTCTTTTCTATGTTAAAGTTATACATTTCATTTCAATTTAATATAATAAAAGTTATTACAACTGTGCTTTACAGATATGTCTAATCTCAGGAATAAAATATTCCATATGTCAAAGCGCAAGCCATAACACTGATTTCGCGCTTCCAGTCGCTGTTCAGAGCCGCGAGTCTAGTTCCAGCGCCGCGTGACGCGCCAGTGAAAATAAAAATAACTGGGCGGAGCGGCGCGCGTGCTGTGTATAAGAGCGAGGCTCTGTGGTGATTCCACCCAGTCTGGACTCGAGCATGGACATACTCAGGACTATAACACACCATCATCAACATCATCAGCCTGTGAATAACGGCAAGATGTGTGAACACACACACCACAGACCCACCGAGCGCAGACGAGGGAAATCAGAGGATAATAATGCTCACGCCACGCAGGAAATGTCACG